ACACTAAGCTATTAGCCGCGTGCTAATGTTAGCACCTCGCTCAACCTGTTGAGACCAACCTAAAGTCGCACGGCAATACGTTCTTCAGTGTTCGCCCACATCATGTGTCATCTTTACACATCTGTATCTTATGAATTTTACATTTTCTCTTACCTGTGAAAACATGAACAACAACATCAGTTCACTTTTGCTATGTCTCATCTCTGATCACACTGTCTGACGTCTTACTCGCTCCACAACTGCACGCGCCAGCAGCGGATACCTGGGAGACGCAGCGCCCCCTGCTGATCGGATGTTTTCACAGTCACATGCATACATAACATTGAGTCAAAAAAAATAAAAAATATAATTGGGGGTACACTGTAAATTGTCTTTTCAATAAACTGTCCATTAGCACCAAATTGTCTCTGTAAACACCTTATGCCACACTCTCCCCCACAAGTTTTAATGTCTCCCGACATTACAACCAAAGTTTTACCAAGGCCGCCATAACTGTCTCTGCTCAATATGCTGAGTCTCTATCACCTCACAGTGTCTTGACACGAATGATGGCTGTCCCAATGTCTCATAGCTCAATACTACAGGTGGCTGCCTGAGTCTGTGTGGGTGTGTGCGTACCTTTTGAGGTGAACCCTCTCTTGACTCACCACTCTTCTGTACTCCAGATGCAGGATACAGGTCTGGTTGCTCAGTCAGTAGCAACACATCAGCAACATTGTCATTCTTTAGTGGCAAATCCTCTTCAGTCTGTAGTGGCAAATCCTCTTCAGTCTGTAGTGGCAAATCCTCTTCTGATTGTAGTGGCAAATCCTCTTCAGTCTGTAGTGGCAAATCCTCTTCATCAGGTGAGGAACTCTGTTGAGGCTGGAAAGGTTCAGCCTCAGGATTCAACAACCCTTGGCTCTGTTTCCTCCCCTTTCTTGACCGGAGATACCAGTGGTAGGCGCCGTCGTCCTCATCCCCTGAACCACTGTCTGATGCTGACTCTCGCTGCTGGTCGCGGTGTGGTGTCCTCTTCTTCTTTGCAGGTGTCTGGGCGTCGGTCGGCTGGGTTGAAGGCTGTGTAGATGGCAGCTCAAGGGGCAGATGGTCACATGGTAGCAACAGGTTTCTATGTACCACTCTGTCTCTCCCATTGCCATTCTCGGGACTGATCTGGTACACTGGGCTCTCATCCCCCTTCCTTTCCTTTACCCTGAAGATTTGGTCCTCCCAGTAGGCCTGAATTTTCCTTGTTCCACCCCTCGGAGTGAGGTTCCGGATGAGGACCCGATCACCTGGTTGGAGGTCCCTACCCAGCACTTTCTTATCATAGTTGGCTTTCCCCCGAGTTGCTCCTTTATCTGCATTGCTGGCAGCGATCCGGTAGGCATCCTGCATGGTCTCCTTCCAGTGATGAACATAATCCTCATAACTCCCATGGGCATTGTCTCTCTCAATGTTGAACAACAGGTCAATTGGGAGGCGTGGAGAGCGTCCAAAGATGAGGTAATAGGGCGTGTATCCTGTACTCTCATTCTTTGTACAATTGTACGCATGGACGACCTTAGCCAGGGACTCCTTCCAATCCTTTTTCTCTTCTTCGTCCAGGGTGCGCAACATGGAGAGCAGAGTTCGGTTGAATCTCTCCACCTGTCCATTCCCCTGAGGGTGATATGGTGTGGTGTGTGAGCCCTGGATGCCAGAGAGTTCTTTCAACCTTGACAACAACCTGTTCTCAAACTCTCCACCCATATCATGGTGCAGTTTGACAGGGAACCCAAACTTCAAAGCGAAATCGTTGAAGAGCTTATCAGCCACAGTCTTTGCTGACTTGTTCTTTGTTGCATAGGCCTGCGCAAACCTGGTGAAATGATCCATAACCACCAGAATGTACTCATAGCCATGTTTGCACTTGTCCAGGTGGAGGAAGTCGATTGAAACTAACTCGAATGGATATGTGGTCAGGATCGGGTTCAAAGGTGCACGGGTCTGCTTGTGTGGTTTCTTCTTCTTGACACACTCACAAACGTTGGTCACAAAGTGCTCCACATCCTTGTACATCTGTGGCCAGTAAAACCTCTCTCGGACTAGGTCCAGAGTCCTTTCGACCCCCAGGTGACCCATGTCTTGGTGTAATTCTTTAAAGATTAATGGGTGGTAGGACTGAGGAGCGACCAGCTGTTCTCGTCGGAGGGTCCTACGGCGCAGGATGCCATCGTCGCACAAGCTAATTTTTAGCCACTGTTTTAGTAAGGTAGCGACTGCTGGATGTTCTTTCTTGATCGCCGCTCTGCTTGGTCTGTGTCCTTGGCTCTTGTACCAGATGACTCGTGCCAGTATTTCATCCTCTCTTTGAGCCTCACGGATCTGTGATGGAGTTAGAGGTTGGCCAGTCCTGCTGCTACAATCTTTTACCAGGCTCAAAGCACAGGTCTGGATGACTCCAACACCCCTGCATGGATTCTCTTTCTCAACTTGTACATTCTGTATGAGCGCACCAACAGTCTCTCCACTGACCTCTTGCGTGCAGCTGTTTATGTAGTCTTCCATACTGAGTGGCATCCTCGACAGTCCATCTGCATCATTGTTGTTCTTTCCTGGGCGATAGCGTATTGTGAAGTGATAGTCGGCCAGCTCTGCCACCCATCTGTGTCCTGCGGCATTGAGTCTTGCCGTTGTGCGCACATATGTCAGAGGATTGTTGTCTGTATAGACAACAAATGACTTGGCATGGTACAGGTAATCCCTGAAGCGCTCGCAGATAGCCCACTTCAGAGCTAGAAACTCTAGCTTCCCTGAGTGGTACCTCTTCTCTGACTGGCTGAGGCTGCGAGAGCCGTATGCAATGACTCTCATCTTTCCCTGTTGGCGTTGATACAACACTGCGCCCAATCCATCTTGTGAGGCGTCGCAGTGAAGTGCGAAGGGCTGGTCAAAGTCAGGATACCCAAGGATGGGGGGTTTTGTAAGGGTCTCGACCAGCTGATTCAGTACTTCCTGGTGCTCCGCGGTCCACTGGATTGGTGTGCGAGAGGGTAAATGACCTTTCTTACCCTTTATTGGTTTCTTTCGTTTCTCAGTCTGTGTCTCTGGGTCATGTTGTTCTAACTTGGGTGGAGCAAGGAGGTTATACAATGGCTTGGCCTTGCATGCAAAGTTAGGGATGAAGGATCGGTAATAGGACAGGAACCCTAGCATCTGGCGCAGGTCGCCCACCGTTGCAATTGTCCGCTTCTTCAGAGCCATCACGGGTGCAACCTCTGCGGGGTCCATTGTGTAGCCCTCTCCTGTCACCATCTTTCCCAGGAACCTCACTTTCCGTTTGAAGAGCTCACACTTCTTGGGTGTCAATTTCACCCCATGTTCCTTGTAGCGCTGGAGAACAAGGCGTACATGTTCTAGATGGTCATCGAAACTGCCACTGTGCACCAGGTTATCATCCAGATACGGGAGACAAATTGTGTCTCTCAGGCCTGTTAAACAATGCTCCATGCTTCGTTGGAACTCAGCAGGGGCGGAGCTCAGACCAAAGGGGATGCGTACCCATTCGTACAGCCCCCAGGGCGTGATGAATGCGGTTAAAGGCCGACTCTCTTCATCCAGGAAGCCCTGGTGGTACGCTTTCCCTTGGTCCAGGACAGAGAACCATGAGCTTCCGCCGAGCGTGTCGAGCATGTCCTGTATTCTTGGGATCGGGTGGCGGTCGGGCACTGACTTACTATTCAGTTCTCTGTAGTCACAACAGAGGCGGAGGGTTCCATCTTTCTTGCGGACACACACCACGGGTGATGAATATTGAGACCGCGAAGGTGTGACCCAGCCCCTGTTCAACAAATCCTGCAGATACTCCTTCACTTCCATATGAAGGGGTCTTGGGACTGACATGTAAGTCTTCTGTACTGGATTAGTGTCATGAAGTGTGATGTGCATCTTCAAAGATGGAATACAGCCTATCTCATCACTGTTGTATGCAAAGGCTTCACACTCCTCCCTCAGCATTGCCATGGTGACTTTCTGTTGTGCCTCGGGGAGATGGCTGAGGTCCACTGGTGGATCCCATTCTTTTGGCCTCTCCACCCTGGCATTCTCTGGTGGTGTCAGGCTCAGCGTCTCTTTTTGCTTGTTCTCACTTGCCTGAGAGCCTACTGAATACATTGTCTTTACGGTTTCCAAATGTCCAATAATCTTGTGTTGGTCCAGGTAGATATTGTGGTCAGTGGTGTTGGTCATGGGGACTGGAATATACGCAAATCTCCTTTGGGGAATACATACAAGCACCTCAGTGAGGGACACACCTTCAGGTGGGGGATGGAGCACGTCCGGTGTGAACAGCATGTCGCGTCCTTGTGCTTGTGCGTTCACATGGGCTCTAACGTAGATGGTGGACATTTGATTCGCTGGCAGGATCACTCTTTTTCCACCAGTGCGGGCCACCCCAGTAACTGGCTCGGAGCCACCTTGCACTAACTTGACCACATCCTGGGCTGTTTTCACAGTTATGGAGAATGCTTTACTTACTTGTTTAGCCAGATGTCTTTGTTCTTTTCTTGTGTTTGCCTCCTTCCCATTAATTACAGCTTCAATGACGTTATAACCCACTATGGGGTCACTGGCAACTGCTGGGTCGCTGGACACCAGGATCGGAACTTGCAATTTGTCTCTGTCGTCTTCAAGCTGAAAGCTGACCTCAACCCAGCCAACATAGGGGATCGGGGTGTCATTGGCTGCCAGAACTGTCAGGGTGTCGTCATCTAGTAGTTCTGTGACAGACCTGATAACAGTGTGGGGCAAATGCTGCATACGCCAGGAATCATTGATGATGCAGGACTGAGCACCTGTGTCCCACAACACTTTTACGGGGTGATCGTCCATATAGCAGTTGACAATGCACCTTCTTCCAACCAGTCCCACTAGCTGTGATTGGTGCTTGGTGGGGAGGTACTGGATTGTGTTCACTGCCGCTCCTTTGTCTTTTCGCACCGTCCCTGGCGAAGAAGAGTTGACATGTCTCTGCTGACTTTGGGACTCTCGATCCTGGACTACTGGTGATCCCGCCCCAGTGGTCCCGGCCCGTTTCCCTGCAACGGTCTCTGGGCCCGGCAACCACGGGAGAAGTGGCCATCCTGCCCACACTTAAAGCAGTGTGTACAATTTTCACCTACCCCCTCATTTCTGCATTTTTGACAACCTCTGCTCCGCTGTCTCTCCGCAGGAGGATGAGGGCGAGCTTCCAAAGCAGCGGACAACATCTGTTTCATTTCAGTGCGCAGCTCTTCGATCATCTGTTGTGTGCTCAAGATCTGCTCGTTTTTGGTCTCTTTGCCTTTCATCGCTTTGACAACCACCGTTGTGTTGGATTCTTTGGATGTAGGCACACTCTTGGACAGAATGGAGTCGGTTTGAACATCAGAGGTGAGCTCATGCACCCTGGAGCCTCTAGCAGCAGTAAACCTCTTTAGTTTTTCCTGTCGTTCATTTTCCAGTTTTGACGCTTCATTCACTCTCTCTATGAGTTCTTCGTCTGTGATTCTTACATTATTGAGGTGAGGTAGGATGTTAAACTTAACAGCGTCACTCAATAACCCTGTTTCAATGGACCTGAGAAACTTCCGCTGGATGGTGGCTCGACTGTAATGTTCCTCAGCATCCCCATTCTCAGCTTTCCACAATAACTTCTCCTTTACCTCCATGGCACGGAACACAAAATTCAGGGCCGTCTCTTTGGGCTCTTGGGACAGGCTAATGAGTTGGTGGTAAAGGTCTGTGGAGCTATCAACCTTATAATGACCTCTCAGGATGGTGAGGAGAGCGGGGAGTGTAAGGCCGCGTTTTATCTCCAACATGTCTCTCAATGGCAGTCCTGGACTCACAGCCCTGATCACCGCTTCAGTTATCTCCATCTCCCCGTGCCCCTTTTCTGTCCCCATCTCAATCTGTCTGAGGAGGTTGAGGTAGGACAGCTTTTCCTTCTGCCCGCTTTCTCCTATTTGTCCAAATATTTTGAACTCTCTCCTTAGTGTGACCTCAGGCCACCCATGTGCTGGGCTCTTGAGTGGAGGTTCTGGGCTCTTAAAGAGGAGTTGGTGCCGTGGTGAGTGCTCCTCATGTGTGGTTGCCCCGACCGCTGGCGTGACGTGTAGGTGACGTGGTGGAGAAAGCCTCTCCCCCTGACTCTTCTGTGGAACAATCTCATGTTTTTTTTCTTGTTTTTCCATTTCTATCAAGATATCATTCAGGACTTTTTTAACGTCATCATCACTACGACTTATCTCTATCTCATCCAGCACATCTTCTGCTTTCCTAATCAACATCCTCCGGGGCAAACTTCCAGGCTCTCTGTTGTCCAGGCCATCACACTCTAACGACCTGCAGACACGCATGAGAGGTCCCTCTTTCAGTTGCCATAAGGCTGCACTTACACGGTCTCGCAGAAGCTGGACTTCCTCCATTTCTCCACTAAATGAAGAAGAAGACTCGTCTCTTGGGTAGAGGAAGGGGAGCTGATGGGCTTGAAATCCACCGGCGTCCTATCCTCCTGGCTGGCTCGCCAAAAATATGTTACACGTGGAAGAAGAAGGGGTCTTCACTGTGCAGCATATTTAATTTTTATTGATTTTTCTGTGAAAACATGAACAACAACATCAGTTCACTTTTGTTATGTCTCATCTCTGATCACACTGTCTGACGTCTTACTCGCTCCACAACTGCACGCGCCAGCAGCGGATACTTTGACTAAAGCAAATCATGTAAAACATACCAGTCCTGACACATTAAACTGTGGTCGTATTCACCAAACATCAGTAAATGAACTCTTTTTAACCTCCATATTTATCATTTTTAACCACAATATTCCCTTTATTTTCATATATACACATCTCGGTGCTGTAATGGGTTAACTTGTTATTTTTGCATATTATTTCTAACCATAAACAATTATAAACAAACGATAAGACTAGTAACAGTCTAGTACATCAGTAAATTAACTCTTTTTAACCTCCATATTTATCATTTTTAACCACAATATTGATTCCCTTTATTTTCATATATACACATCTCAGTGCTGTAATGGGTTAACTTGTTATTTTTGCATATTATTTCTAACCATAAACAATCATAAACAAACAATAAGACTAGTAACAGTCCAGTATTTAGCCCATGAACTGACCCACCGTATGCTAACATCACGCCACCGCGAGCTGAGCAACTGTCGGTTAGCTCCGGTTATACACTAAGCTATTAGCCGCGTGCTAATGTTAGCAACTCGCTCAACCTGTTGAGACCAACCTAAAGATAGTAACAGTCTAGTACTGAGCCCATGAACTGACTCACCGAACGCTAACATCACACCACCGCAAGCTGAGCAACTGTCGGTTAGCTCCGGTTATACACTAAGCTATTAGCCGCGTGCTAATGTTAGCAACTCGCTCAACCTGTTGAGACCAACCTAAAGATAGTAACAGTCTAGTACTGAGCCCATGAACTGACTCACCGAACGCTAACATCACACCACCGCAAGCTGAGCAACTGTCGGTTAGCTCCGGTTATACACTAAGCTATTAGCCGCGTGCTAATGTTAGCACCTCGCTCAACCTGTTGAGACCAACCTAAAGTCGCACGGCAATACGTTCTTCAGTGTTCGCCCACATCATGTGTCATCTTTACACATCTGTATCTTATGAATTTTACATTTTCTCTTACCTGTGAAAACATGAACAACAACATCAGTTCACTTTTGCTATGTCTCATCTCTGATCACACTGTCTGACGTCTTACTCGCTCCACAACTGCACGCGCCAGCAGCGGATACCTGGGAGACGCAGCGCCCCCTGCTGATCGGATGTTTTCACAGTCACATGCATACATAACATTGAGTCAAAAAAAATAAAAAATATAATTGGGGGTACACTGTAAATTGTCTTTTCAATAAACTGTCCATTAGCACCAAATTGTCTCTGTAAACACCTTATGCCACACTTGCACCTCCTTGTAAAAACAAAACAAAACAAAAAATAAGTTTGTTGAATCAATACCTCCAATGTTTAAATGAAAGTTTAAATGTTTCATATTGCAGTAGCTGTTTGTTAACACTCTGATCATCCTTATACATTATCCTTATCTTTTTATCTCACTTAAAGAGTTTGTTTATCCAAGGCAGGTGTTCAGTTAATCTCTACAGCCATTTTATCATGTTTAACTACACCGACCTCCACGTGTTCGGACTGTGTGAAGACAACATTTTATTATGCTGTAATTTTCAATACAGCAGAGAAAACATGAACATGAAACACTGAGACACGTTTTGCTTGTTTACTTACGGGGGATGTAGGAGATCATGAGAAGGATGAGGAAGGTGTAGTGGTCGAAAGAGAAGTTATACTTGTTGGGGAGGGTGACGGAGTACAGGCCTGACTTCTGCACATACGGCAGAGCTGCACTGATGGTTGCACGTTGAAAAATGTGTACCTGCAGTGAGAGATTCTAGACAGAACAGGCAGAGAGGGGAATAAATAATCCATCCTAATACTTTATTGATCGCTTCTACAACGAGGGAGTGTGAGGTGGGCGGCATCACTATTATAAGCAGCACTTTACTGTAGCAGAGATGTTTTTGTAGGTTTGAAAAAAATGGTTTTCTATAGAAAAAAACAAGCATATGGTGAGTGCACGAGAAAACTTGCAGCCAGGGCCAGAAAAACCACTTTGTTTAATCTCATCAGATTAAGAAAATATAAGAACAGAGACAAATTGTGCTCTTGGATAAAGATAGATTCTGAAAAGATTGTTTAAAGAAACTGAGGTGACAAAGATGGATGTATAAAATGAAGAAAAAACTGCATTTAAAAATCAATGTATGGATAAATTTTTTTTGAGACTATCAAAATTAATATTTTACACAGAAGGTGTGCGCCGTCAAAAAAAATCCAAGAAAAACTTTAAAATCTTCTCCTTCAGCCCTGGAACTGTCCACTCATTTTCCACAGATGTGAAACCAATTTTCTGTCTCTTAGGGTGCAATTCAACTGAAACTCGAATACCAATATAGCAGCGCAGCGGCCTCATTTGCTACCTAGCAACAAAGACTGCAGGGAGAGAGACACTTAACAACTGTTGCCTTGGTTGTAGATGCAGAAAAACGCCGTTAGTCAAATAGAGACGTTGAGTTTCATTGTGGAAACAGAGAATTTGTGTTTGATAATTGACTTCGCATGTGCTTCTGTGCTGTGCTTTCACAAGCATTTTGGGTCCTTTACAATAAGGAGGATGGTCTTCATATTTCCCTCACTACAGTATTCACAGCGACATGCAAACAAGTGCTGCAAGTTAGCAAAGAGTTGTGCAAAAAAAGGGATTCTTTACTGTAGAACAACTACATTTTAGCCTTTAGAAAGCTAATATCTTGTGTTCAATCAGAGTATCGCGTGGGATCTCTGTTTCTCTCACAATACCTTGCTATTTTTCTTCATTAAGGTTTTATTTAAAGAGAAAAAAGGTTTATGGTCCTACATATTTTTTCAGAAACGGACCCTCAATTTCAATCATTGGTTTTTAGGCTAAACTACCTTTGAAATTATCCCTCTGCCATTTTTTTTTTGCACCAACAACTGAAAGTTTTAAACAACATCTTTGTGAAATTTAATTGTGGAATAACTAAACAGATGCAAATAAAAAAAAAATGTTGAAAACTTACCACAGGACAAATGCTGCTGCATTGCTTTAACATGACATTTGCACACAAAACAAGAAAGTAGTAAAGAATAAGAGATATAATGTATTCTATTTTTGCCTTGAAAAATGACCGATCTAAAGAATGACGGTAAACTTGGTCCTCCAACATTAGGGATGGGAAAAAAATCTGTTTTCTGCAATTTAAGTGGGTACAGACCGTAAAATAGACATTGATGTCCCAATGTTTTCATGCCTGGATCTCTAGTATTAATCGAGCCTAGGTGGAAGTTCAACTGAAGAAACTGATTGCTCTCCTACATCCACCTACGGCTCAGCCAATCAGCTTTGAACCACACCTCCACGAAAGCCAATTGGCATCCAAAGTTAATCTTAAAAGGCCTCCGATTTGCTTCATGCTTGCTCATCATGGACAGGTTCTCTCAACCTGTGTTATCCAAACTGGACTTCCATCTTCCAGGTCCCTGAGTGAAGCTCTAGTATCAGCTCACACAGTCCTCTGGATCTCCCCATAAACCTCAGCATACCGCCTCGCTAACCAGCAGTCTATAGACTGACCAACTTCATCTATCTCCACTCCACCACCAGTTTCAGGCCTGGGGGGAAACAGCCCTATTCTTTACTCCTGGTCATGCATATCTATCAAAATGAAGCGTTATGTCTCCAGTCGAGGTCTGAGTGCCAAAGACAAAGTAATTGTATCAATACATTTCTTCTAATTGTCTTTTCTCTTTGTGTAAGTTTTTCAGATTCAAATTCCTATTATACCATTTTAAATGTTCTTTATGCAAAAAAAATTTCAGTTGATACAACATACAGCAAAGTTTTACATTTTAGTAAGAACATATGCCCTTTTGTTTGTGTAAAGAACCAACAACGTCAATTACGCTAGAGAGAGATAACTATAATGTAGTCTCCTAGTTGGGCTACTCCTTAGGCTACGGTAAAGGAATGAGAAAGCTGGAACAAACCAAAGCTTCATGTAGTATTTTAAAACCTTTTGTATTGTTAATTTTCAAGCTTACAAAGATTAATTTGGCGTTTCGTAAAGTTACTTTTTAAACGCTTTGATTTGTGTCTGACTTTTTTGGTATTCTTTGACAAAATTCTCACAATATTATTGCAGGAATTTTGGCCCATTCCTCCAGACAGAACTGATTTAACTGAGCCTGGCTAAGGGGTCAGCTTGGTCAGACATTTTTTGGTCTTCAAACCAATACTTTCAGGGAATGAGGTCAGGGCAACAGCAAATCAAGAGATTTTCTTGTCCTCAAGCCATAGTTAAAAATGCACCAGCTTTAGTAGGGTATTTCTATATAGTGTACTTTTCTTCAGGATGCTTCCATTTTGTAAAATTAAGCAAAACATACTGGAGCAAAACCACTGAAAATAATTCAATTACGCAGGAACTTTATGGTAAGCTCCCCAAAATGTAATGTTTGCCTTAACTGCTAGGTTCAAGTATAGTTTCATAATAGACACATGCCTTTATGGTGTCTTTAATGTTTCTTTTGTAGTCCTTGGTGAGGCCTGTCTTGCATCTCCATCCATGTCTGTAAAGGACTTCTTTCATGGTGGAAAATTACACTTTTACAAGTTTTTTTGTTAAAATTCTGTAGTTGATACATCGCTCTATTCATCTTATACCGCTTGTTCATCAAAGTCACAAGAAGTTGAAGCTCATCTCTAGCAGGGTGCAGACAAAAGGTGGGGTACACCCTGGAGGGGTTGCCAGTCCAATTCAGTGTAACACACACACACACTCACACCTAAGAACAATTTAAGGTCTGAACACACCCGATATGATTTAGTGTCCCATCCTCATTTTGGTTTGACCTACGTAGTAATTTTACAGCTATGTCATGGGAGACATGGTGGAAAAGTGAAGCCTATCTGATTTGAGGAAAACACAAAGTAAAATCTCTGAATCAGATGGTGAACCAGCTGTCCTTTCAGGTTTGGAAGCAAATCGAGGTAAACTTTCATATAGCAAACAGAGCTGAATCGGACATTGATGATCAATAAAACGTTTCAGTAAACTGTGTAATTGTACCCATAGTAGGAGGTCAGAATTATACAAACAGATTAAAGGTAAAACAGGAATTGTCTTTGAGCTAAAAAAAACAACACAAAAACAAATGTGGAATAGCAACTATTTTTATGTCAGGATTTGGTGTGGATTGAGGACCCAAAAGCAGAGGCAAGTAGGCAGAGGGGAATTTAGGTGGGTTTAATGAGGTTCTCAGGTACGGAGGCAGGAATCAAAAATCCAACAAAAATAACAAACTAACCAGAACCAAGGAGACATCAGGGGAAACCAAACTCTAGGAGCCAGGGAGAGACGAGGAAAGCAGACAGATGTTAGACGAGGATCCAGCAAACAGGAACTGAAGAGGGAGGGCTTTTAAAGGGGACAGAGACAAAGAGAGGGCTAACGAGATGATTGAAAACAGGTGAGGACAGAGCAGAAAACAGAGCTAGGGAAAGAGGTCGCAAGAGGGCAGCAGAGGACAACAAATGGAAAACCAGGAACTAACAAGAAAATAATAATTAAACACTAAGACAAGAAGCAAAGTAAAGCTGAATACTCTAAATAAACATAACAAAATCAAGACTGTGATAGTTTATGAGGAATAATGCGGGGGCACATGAAATATAAACTTAACAAACTTCACAAAAAACACTCTGAGAATCAACTTTCACTGGCCTCACCCAAATATAAACTGGTCCAGTCTTTGTCTTGGCTGTGTATTTTTTTTAATAGCTTTCATTATATTTTTTATCCATTAAAATTAAAGTTATTAAATAGGTATGATTCTGGGAAGAGCAATTATGTCATTCTTTTCAGAGATCTAGAGCTGTATCGGCTCCTCTTCCCTCCATTAAAGACTTTTCATCTCAGAGCGGTGTGTCCCGAGCCCATAACATCATAAATGATCCCTCACACCCCCACCATGGACTGTCCTCTCTTCTGCCCTTGGGGAAGAGGCTTCGAAGCATTGGATGCAGGTCCAGCAGATTCCATAACAGTTTCTTCCCAACCATTAGACTGCTGAATGTTGTGTAAAATGGGTTATTGTATTGTAGTTTATTATATTTTTTATATTTCATCATTATATATATAAAAAACCTGAAAATGTTAGAACTGTAAATTTACAGTCATGTGTTT